CTCATTTGAGCAGAAAAACCACTTAAACCGTAAGGTGACAGAGGAGAGGATAGCGTCTTGGCTGCCTTCCATTTGAGAGCCGTGACTCGGGCAGCAGCAGACTGGAAGAGCTGGAAGCGCCGCGGCGGTGCCAGCGGGAGGAGGAGAGGGGAGCAGCAGTGGCCTCAGCCCCGGCCTGCCAAGAGCTGTCAGCCAAAGGCAGACGGCGGGGAGAGCGGGAAAGCAGCGGTGACAGCTGCTGAGTCAGCAGCACCCAGAGAGCCGCTACTCGCCCCCTCCTTCTGACACACGCACACAAAACCAGCGCCCAGCAGCAGTTGGGGTGTGACTGCCAGGAGCAAGGGCTGGCCGAGCGGGAGATGCTGCACGGAACGGGCTGAAGGCGAGCAGGGGAGATGCTGCAGCTCGAGGAGCCGCAGGCAAGGGCAGCGGGCTGGGGTGGAGCAGATCCCCTCAGAGCAGCCGGAGACAGAGCAGCTTTACACGAGTCCGTCACAGGCGAGCAGGAGGAAGCATGTTAGAACACCCCCACCATCGTGGGACAGGGACAGGCTTGTAGGTGCCCCAAACACCCAGCCAGGAGGATGTTCCCCCATGCACAAGGTACGTTTTCTCCCTTTTTTCTCCCGTGTGAGCCAACCTTCACACCCAGTCCCCGTGCCCTCTCTCCGTGCCTCCCCTCGCCATTTGCCTGGACCAGGGAGGAGAGCAGGATGGTCGTACTGCAGAACGGGGAGGGAGGGAGGGAGCAGCCTTCTGCGCAGTCGTCTGCTCCCAACGCTACGGCTTCAGCACCGCCGGGAAGGTAAGCAGGGTACAAGTCCCCACAGGTCACCAGTGCCAGCTGCCGGCGCGGCAGCGTGGTCTGCACCACCCTGGGCATGGCAAGGGGTCAGCAGTTTCCAGGAGGGGGTCAGCAGACACTGTTTCTTTTAACAGTCCGCATTTTGGGTTTTAGGCAGCAACAGAATTTACGTTAGCTGAGCTAACGTCAAGGTTTTAGGGGGGGTTGGTGGTTCTTGGTTTTGCTGTCTTTTGGTTTTTGAAACAAGCAATCCTGCTGGCTCTTTTGTCATAGCGGCCAAATAAAAAGTCCAAAAGGCAAAGGCCTTCTAAAAAACACCAAGGTGTTTGGATGCACTGCTTACTCAGCCAGTCTCCAGTTGCAAGGGGCTAATTACCAGGCATTACTCCCCAAGTTTACACTGGGACAAAATTTTCCGTTTACAGGCAGGTTACCTTTGGAATACAGATAACAGTTACAATTTAGAGTATGTGAAAAGTAGCTGATAGCCACAGCTCCACAGCACAAGGAACGTCAGCAGCACGCTCTCTGGCACAAGACCATTGTGGCTGCAAGCGTAACGGATTTCCCCGGCCATCCCAGCACCGGTGAAAAGGAGGGGGCAATTCTGGTCTCCCTGCGTAGTGGTCCTGAGAGGCAGGACTAGCCCCTGTTCTCCTCCAACTTGCCTCACGATTTCACATCAACTCACTGATCCTCCCTCCAGAATTTTCCCTCAGCCTCACCCAACCCTACAGGAAGGCATCGCTCCTTCAGCGTGAGGAGGATCTCGTTGTTCAACCCATTCACACCTGGGGAAAAAAAAAAAAGAAGAAAAAACCCAAACCAGCCAAACAAAACTATATAGAAGAGCACATGCATAGCAATATGGAAAGGGATTAGGCAGCATCTTTAAAAGCCGTTACCAAAACAGATCTCCAACTACATCTTCATCCGAGTTACTGGAATTGGTATGCAGCCTGCCTAGAGCCCAAGCGTATCCAAAATGATCCCTTGGTGGTTTCCCAACTGCACAGACACTTAAAACTCTGCTTCGGTAGAGGATTTTGGATCAAACAACCCCCTCTCAAGCATTACGTAAGGACGTTTTTCCAGTCTCACCACTGAGCAGATGGACAATGAACGGTCAGTCACCAAACGTGCAGGCCACAACGACAATCGCTTGAAGAAAAGGATTCTTACCCTTCCACACGGAAGCCGGTAAGTCAACATCTCCAGCACCCTTTTCTCCTTCTGTCGTGAAATCCTGTCTGTCTCGGATTCCGTGGTAAGGGTCTGCCAGAGCAGTGAGCCTTTGCCAGGACTAAGAGCAACTAAGCCACATTGCAACCATCTGATAGAAGCCATTTCCCGTACAAAGGGTATCTGCACCCCAAATAACTTACTTCTTGAAACGCCATACGTATATCCGTAGCTTTCTAGAAAACAGTTACTTACGTGATCAACCTGAACCAGGGGGTCTGATTTAAAAAGCCTGCACAGTGCTGTACAGATTACCAGTATCCTTTCATCATCTCACATCCCCCTGCCAACCCTAACTCTTGCTTATACGGTAGTTACGGGAAATCGCCAGACGCATTTTTAGATAGCCTACACTTTTTCAAAATCCCATCTTTTTGTTGCTCATCTGTTGGCCAGAAATAAGAATTGATACCATCAGTTGCCTCTCCAAAACCATGAACAAAATTAACTGCAAACAAAATTTAACACTGCAGCTACAAATTAAACCGACCTTCAGCAGGTCAAATTCTTGTAATTGCTATCCAGATTCTGCGGTCAGTTGTAGGACAGAGATCCTATTCACAGTACGTCTTTCTAAATCAAATTTCTAACCAGAAACACTTTGCAACCCTAAAAGTATATTCCATTTAGGAGTCAGTTTGGAAAAAGAAAGGCATCGCACATTCCCCAGACCATTTACCCATAGCCAAAAGAGCACGTCTAAAGTTTAAAGCAAGGAATAAGCAGCAAAGTTAAATGAATTTGTTACTTTATTTTTCCCCTCTACTCACAGTATCTGTTCTGTCTGTAGCACACGTCCAAGGTCAAGTATTTGGGACCTTTATTTTAGGTAAAAATGTTTCCTCCTGAGTGGGTGTTGCAGCCAGCTCAAATGTCCTCTTACCATCAAACCCACACTAAGAGTCCTGAACTGAGCCAAAAACTTGCACCAAGTACTACCTACATATGCCATTTTTAAGCTTAAAGGAAAATCTGAGTATTTTTTCACACAGGAAAAAAAAAAAAATAGTATTTGGGTTCAACTGCAAACTCTGATTTAAGTATAATTTTCTGAATATACTTGAACAGGCAGAGTTACACAGCAGAAAAGTATCGCTGTCAGATTAGGACAGAAAAATCACACAGGGGAAAAAAAAAACTTTATAAATACCTGGATGTATCTGGGTCCACACCTGCGTCCCTTTTCTCTTCCACTGAGCCCCTGACATCCCAGGGGGGATTTGCCAACCCCGAGCACCAGCAGCTCCCTCTCGTCAGCCCCTGCCCAAGAGGTGCCCGGCTCAGAGCACAGCACCAGCCGGGACCAGGGCAGCAGCAGCCGCCTTGCTGGGGTCTCTCCTTACCTGAGCCATCCGTTTTCACCCGGCTGTTAACGACCCGTAAAGAGTTATCACCTG